GTGATGACTTAGATATGAGTAAAGGCACATCTCCTACTATATCTATGTCATATATACCATAGAATGAAGATGATCATCTCCAACCTTGGTTCTGACATTGTTATCCTAAAGATGGATGTGCTGCAGAAAATATAAGTTAGTTTTGCATATCTGGGCTTTCATTTCTCCTTAAATCTGCATGAACAGTAACAGTGACCACATCCAGATGATTTCTGCTGTTCACATGATAGAGGTGTCATTTTATCAGTATCACTTGTGCCATTTTTTTCTGGCACATTAAATTCATCGGCGCTTGTGTAAATGCTCAATGTTAAAACTCCCTCTTTGATAAACAGCTAGATGTTTAAATTTCTCATGTGGTCTAACAAAAGGTCTTTTGATGTTGTGTCGGTGTTCAACAAAATTCCTGCAAAAAAGTTATTGCATATTTTGAGAAAAAAAATATTAAAAGAAAATATTAATTCGGTCTTAGAAATAACGGATATGATTAATTTGGTAGAAGCATGTGTTGAAAACTCATTTTTCAAATTAACAGTAACATTTATAAATAGAATGAAAGCTTAGCTATGGATTATCCTTTATCTCCGCTATTATGTGACTTATTTATGGATAGTTTTGAAACTGAAACGCTAGAAAAAGCGGATAAGAAACCTGATGTTTGGTTCAGGTATGTTGATGACACATTTTTATTATTGCGGCATGGTAAAGAGGAATTGGCTCTTTTTGCTAATTACCTTAAGAACATGGACAATTCTATCAGATTTACTTAAGAAGTTGAGACAAATAGCTGTTTCCCTTTTTGGATGTTTCAGTGAGTAAAAGTAAGGATAAATTGGAAATTACTATTTATCGAAAACCTTTCTCTGTAGTCATTCCGCCACATCAAAAATATTGTCACACTAAATCTAGGAAAACTGCTGTTTTTTACTCTTATGTAGATAGGATACTAAAATTATATTGTTAACAGGAAGGCATTAATAATGAGTTATTATTGATTAAGGACATAGCAGTAGATATAGGTTTTAGTCCTGATATTGTTGACAAAGCTGTCAAAAAACTGAAAAACAACTATGATTTTTCGTTTGTATGAAGTTAAGCACAAAGCAACACAATGGGCTACTTGTGTTCTGCCCACCACGGTATAGAAAACTTGGTTTCTAGCGTTATAAGTCCGCAGACATGCCGATGTGCCACTGGGGGCTACAACGATGAAAATATTAAATTAAAACCATTAGCTGAAAAAGTAAAAAAAAGAATATTTGGTTTATGTTATCAAATAATTAAGCAGTTTAGTAAACAAATGAATATTTTTCCGATATATAAACCGATAAACAAAGTTAAACAGATTGAATGGAAAAATTTGGTACTGTTATAACAGCGAAAGTCACGTGACACTGATAAAACTGATGATTATCTCGAGTGTTCGCCAGACGCCCTCTATTTTGTATATATACGACCGGCGAGAAGTGACGGCATAGATAATTGAATATTTGCAGATAGAGAGATTGAAGATATAGACACGGATAATTGAGTCAAGCGGGCACCGTAAGTAAAGTGCGTGAATCGTTGTGAATTATACCGTGAGTTTGCGCTAAAGTGACTGTGGAAATTAAGTGTATTGAAAAGTTGAATTGAGAAAGAATAAACTACTTTTATTTAAGAAAGGACTTGTATCGCAGAAGTTTCTTCAGAAAGAATTTCTACGGAAAATTAACAAACACAGACATAACTAATTGGTGTCAGAGAGTGGGACGAAAAAAAAAGATGGAAACCAGAGGTGGCAAATCAAACTACAGCTTAGCAGATTTGATGGCAGCAATACAAGAACAGCAAAAGAAACAAGAAGAGAGATTACAGCAGTTGTTGGAGGATAAAGAAAAGAAACAAAAAGAACGAGAAAATAAACAAGAGAGATTACAGCAGTTGTTGGAGGAAAAATAAAATAATCAAGAAGCG